ACATTTAACCTTAGATTATCTAATAAAACTGGATAATCCTTCGAGGCAATTGGCAAAATGCACTTTTTCCTTTCTAAGTAATGGCATACCAATATGGCATAGAAAACTTTAAGCTTTTGGATTTTGTGGTAACTTGCCTTTTTTATTGAAAATTTTAATTTCTGACAGAACTATTGGTGTGAAAATATTCTCTGACAATGTCACTTTTTCGGCCATTTTTGTCCAAGCAAACAAGTAAGTGTCTTGTCACCAACAATATTTCTATGTATGATAAATAACATCTTACCAGCTCCCCCTCGGAATCTTAAATACTCTCTGTTCACCAATGATGATGCTTTGTGGCTTTTCAGCAGTGATCGCATCCAACTGGTGCTGGGTATGATTCATAACTGGGGCCTCCAGTGAGGTTTTATGTTTTGCACAGACAAAGAGTATTGAGGTAGTTTTTCACATAGGAGGATACCGAACATCAGACTGACCTTAGACAACCACCCAATACCTATGGAAAAGTCTGCCATTTTTTTGGTTTATTCTTTGACAGTAGACAATACTGGAAAGACCACACTGATCTATTAGAAAAAATAAATGTCAAAAAGCACTTAATTTACTAAAGTGCATTCCTGGTAATAAATGGGGAGCTAATAGAAAGTCTTTGCTAATGATATGTAAAGTCCTAATTAGGTCTAAAGTACGTCAATCGTATATGGCTTGGCACCGAACTCAAATTTGAAAGATTTGTATGCTATTTAAAATGTTTGTTTGCATGTGTGTCTTGGAGCCCTGAAATGCACTTGGATCGAGAGTCTTGAGGTGGAGTCAGGAATGCCTCCTCTCCGATTCAGACGCGGCCAGATGGTACTAGCCCATGTCGCATTGGTGGCTTGAGACTTGGGCCAACCTACTAGCAATCGAGTGTTGGGCCCTTTGCCACGTGACTCAAATATAGCGCAATAGGAAACTCCCAATTTTACCATCATGGAAGAATGGCTTCCATCAGCCAAGGTCATGAAGCTGAAGGTGAAGGTACGCCAGATATTCACACAGATCCTTGTTAAACACTTTCCTTTTAATATATATACCCGACGGCTCCAAGACAGATGGATGTGTGGGAATGACTGAATATGAACTAAATTTCAAACTGCCGAATCATACATTGATCTTTATTGCTGAACTTTTTGCTATTGGTAAAGCTTCAGATTTTGCACTATCGACGACCCACGATAGAATAGATTCTTATCAGATGCATTAAATTCACCTAAAGCCATTAAATCATTAAAACACACAAAAGATACATTGCTGGGCAATACCATTCATATACAAGCTATATAGTGCCAACAAATCGATCAAGCTAGCATGGGTACCAGGCCACAATGCCCATGACAATGGGCAGGCTGACATATAAGACGGGTCAATTGGAGATCTGGGCCTCAGCATAGTCCGTGCAGATCTCAGGTGTCCCTCATAAAAGCAAAAAAAAAAAAAAAACATCTGTGGCAAAATGAGAGGACCAACCTACACAAACAATAAACATAAACCAACAACAGAGACGTGGGACACAGCCCACAGAGAAGCAGGAAGGGAGCAGGTGGTGTTGGCGTGTCTGCGAGTCAACGCCACAAGACTTCATTCCATATCTAGAAAAGAGGTTTCCACCACAATGCCGCCATAGCACATTGCACCTTTCAATAGCCCATATCTTAATAATATGCCATCAGCGCAACAATAATAGTCAAATCTAAAAAAATACGTCAGTATATAAAACTTACCATTCACATCATATCTATGAAAGTAGGAAAAAACAATAAATACAAAACTGTATGACCGTAACTAGATTGAGACAATGAATAGGATCCGCTGGTTTAATAACCTTGGCCACATGTTTGGCTGATAGCCAAGAAATCCAACAAAAGCAAAAAAATCTCGTTCACCTTAGTGGCATTTATTGCTAATGTCTTAAGATGCTCTTGCGCAATTTCTCTGGTACATTCCATGCCGATATACATTTTGTGGACTGAATCATAATAATGCGTGAATTGGGTTACAAACCTATAGGAAATCTTGGTGTTAAAAGTTACTTTTCATTTTGCCAAACTTTCTCCCTTTAGTATCATCTGATAATTGTCATCCACAGATTAATTTAATTTGATAATTAGTTTGAAAGGAATCGCCCTTAAAGAGCCACAGAACCAAATGTGAATCCTAGATTAAAATGTGTACAGCCTTGATTAGTCAGAGTAAGCAACTGACCAAGGCTGCTATAGTACCTTATGCCAGATCGTCTGATATTTCCAAGATTCGCTCAATTTTTAGAGAGAGAGAGAATGTTTGAGTAAATAAGAGAGATCAACTAACTGAATGAGTAGAGGAGTGAATGAAAAAGAAGAGGGAGATAAAGAATGTTTAGGGCTGCCAAAGCTTGAGGCGGCAAAGGGAAATGGAACGTGCGACGTCATCACGTCTACTCCCACTTCTCGCGAACCTCCAGTTTGCTATGTTGCTTCGAGACTGTCAGGGGCGGGTGTTGTCAAAACTTGTTAATGATACATCATATGATAACACCGAATTAATCAAGCAACATTTCCGATACACATAATGGCTCAGATGAGCTCCGTTACGGATTCT